ATGACGATTCGGATGATCCTCTATTTGATGACAGCGTAAGCGTTGGTGGAGGAGCAGGCGAACTGAAAAAGGACTATTTGTTTAGAAATGCTTTGAAATCATCCAAACCAAAAATTGGAGCCAAATCTTTGCTAATAATTTTTATAGTATTGGGATTAGTAATGATTGCAACTGCCATTGGCTTTTCAGCTTATCATGGAATTGCAATTAAGAGCAACATTTTCAATTCGAGCATTGTTTGCATTCCACAAATTATTTCTGCATCAGTTATCAAAAATATCAGATCAATGCAAAACTGGATCAATATATTTGTATTGTCTGGTTATGAATGGCCAACTGAAAGAAATGGATACGAGATGCCTTCACCAAGTGTAAGTGATATTGTTAGTTGAACATACATATGTTAACATTGTTATCAGATATATTTGAGAAATTTCACAGATAGTATTGAGACTTCAATTTTCAATATCAGAGAGTTGATAGCATTGGGACAATCTCTTGTGTTTGATGTTTCAACATTAACTTCATACGGTAAATCTATGCATTCATTCAAAATTCCAAGCGTGAATGGAACTGACGGATTCAATACAAAACAATACATTGGAGAACCAGAAATCAGAAAAGTATCCGTTGTTGAAATTTCTAACTTATTGATTCAATACATGGACAAACACATGGCTCAATTCCCAGAAACTGACATCTTGAATTATTTCAATTCCACAAGTGAGGCAACAAAAGTAGAAATTCAACAAAATTTGAAGAATTCAACATTCATGAATCCAGTTAAAGATTATGATTTTATGTTATTATGGCTTAACACACCAATAGCTTCACAAGCATATAAGGATTTTTGTATTGATTTTGTTGAATTGAGCTCTGATAGTGTTGCCTCACTTCAATATCAATCTCAATATTTCTTCCTTTGTGTTTTAGTATCCTATATTACATTTGGATTATGCACGGCTATATATATCATTGTAGAGTTGAGATATATTGATAGATTGATAAAATTATTTGAGAAGGAAATTGGAAAGGATGTTATTGGAAAGATTTATCAAAAGTTATCGTCAAAGAATGATACTGAAACTTCATTGAGCACTTCTATACTTACAAAATTTGCTAGATTCGATGCCTTTGTAGTCATTTCAATTCTTGTCATCTCAATGATAGTGCCACTGATTGTTGGTTTAATTTACTATGAAACAAGTTTTAACATTACAACTGCATTGGTAAACTATGTCGATGTTAAATCAAGTTTTGAATGTGCACAAACAATGATGTTATCATCATTCTACACTACTGAAATGAGCATCTACTTTGCAATTCCATCTTTGAGTTATTCCACCAAGAACCTCAAATATTATGGTCATCCTTATTTCAATTCTCGCTCGTTCTCAGAATTAAGCCTAGAGATAAAACAACAAGCTGATACTGCAAGCGCTAACTGGAATGATTTATTATATGGAGATGTTAACAAAACCAATGATCTTCCAGTTTTGGGATCATATCCAACTGTTGATAACCTGCTGTATGGTGAAAAAAACTGTAGCCTCTATTTACAACAAAGAAATATTCCATTTTCCTATGATTCCTTCATTGAATATTGTCATGGGCTAGAAAATGTAGTGACTGAATACTTGGCACTGACTTCTGAAGTGACTGAGAATACTAGAGATCATTATCTGACACAATCAAGAAATCCCAATATTATAATAGATCCATTGGATATTTATTTACAACACCATGATCTATTCAGAATGTCTCTCCCCCTAACCAAAAAGCTGAAGAGTTTTGTTCGTGAATTTGTTGATTATGCATCAACGCTATCCACTGGATATGTGATTGGAGCAAATTTATTTGGATTAATATTTATTGCTTTTCTTTCTTTTATGATTTATACAGTAATGACAAATTATTGGGATACTTTACAAAAAGTAAGAATAATGCTCAACTATTTACCTTTGGATACTATTGATAGAAATGATGTATTGAGAAACAACGTGCTTTATCACTCATATCCATCAATAGTAGAAATTAATGTGTTGAATAACAGCTCAAAAAGAAGTAGCAACAATACATACTTGGAAAACTTGTCAGAATTCATCAATAATCACATTGAAGGAACAGCTGTTCTCAATGAAAAAGGAGAAGTGGAGGTAATCAATGTTTCAGCTCACAGAATGTTTGGAAGTAAACCTGCAGATATTTTGGGAGCTACATTCTTTAAACTGGTTGAGAATAGTTATTTGGACAAGATGAAAAAGACAATGAGTTCATTATGTGAGGCAGCTAAAAAAGCTTCTGAAGCTACCACATCTGAGCAATCAAAATTGACAGACACTATTGAGGTGGATTGTTTTAGAATGAATCAAACCAAATTCCCTGCCAAATTATCATTTTTTACCAGTAATATTACAGGAAAGGGAATTATGATTGTTTGCACCATTAAGGATATCACTTCAGAGAAGAAACAAAATGCCCTCCTTGCAGAAGAAAAGAAAAATTCTGAAAATCTCTTGAAGAATATATTACCTGAGGGTGTAGCAGCAAGATTAAAGAAGGGTGAAACATTCATTGCTGAGAAATTGAATGACATTACATGTTTCTTTTCAGATATGGTTGGATTCACCAAAATTTCAAGCAATATGCAAGCAACAGATCTTGTCAAAATGTTGAATTATGTTGTGAATGGATTTGACAAATTGACTGAAAAGTATGATTTGGAAAAGATCAAAACCATTGGAGATGCTTACTTTGTGGTTGGAGGACTCAAAGGTTCTTCAGACCATCCTGAAAGTATGCTCAAATTTGCAATTGAAACATTTGATGTAATTAAGGATTTCAACACGAATGGAACGCTTCACAATGGAGAATTTTTAAATATCAGAGTTGGAATTAACACTGGTTCATGTGTTGCAGGTGTAATTGGTGTAAGTATCATTACAAAAATATATAATTAATATTATTAATTAACTGAATTAGATTAAAAAATTTGCCTATGATTTATGGGGTGATACCATCAATACAGCCTCTCGTATGGAATCAACAGGAGTTCCCGGAAGGATTCAAATTTCCAGAACAACCTATGAAAGAGTTTATGATTTGGGCTTTGAATTTGATGAAAGACAAGTTGAAGTGAAAGGAAAAGGACGTATGCAAGCATATCTTCTCAATTCCAAACATCATACCAATCCAGATCCATCTAAATCCACTCCAATTGGAGGTGATGATGCAGATGGTGAGGTGGTAGTTCAGAAATTAAACCAAGGTCAATCAATGTTCATTGAATCTACTACAATGGAAGAAAACTAAAAATTATTGGGGGCCTATAGCATCTCCATACGGATTTTTACCAATAAAAAAGATATTCCTCGCCAAGTTTCCTTTTATATTCATCTCCGCGCCTTTAGGAAGAAATTTAAATTTAAAAAAATGCAAAAAATTCAAAATAAAAAAATGTTTGAACCAAAACTAATTTCCCGCCCAATGTCATCCCATTCCTCACGATCAAATAGTTTAAAAACCATTTCCAGAATTAGTGGATTGAGTTTAATAATAATGTTCTTTGCAGCCATGCACGCAGAAATGATGGTCAGAGCAAAACTAATCATTCCGAATAATGTTCATCAAACGCTCGATAATATTCGTGATCATAATTGGTTGTTTTATAGTGGCTTGCTTTCTTATTTAATTGTTTTAATGTGTGATTTGGTAGTTTCTGTCGGAATGCACATTTACCTGAAGAGATTTGATGAGAAATTGTCGTGGATTGTTGCATCAATGAGAGTGATTTATACAATGATATTTTCCTATGCCATTATACAATTGTTTGTTGGGTTTCAATTGGCGCTTCATCCAAAATTTGAAAAGCAAGTGACTTGTATGAAGTATTTTGAAGAGTTTGAAATGATTTTCAATGGAGCTTTGATTTTATTTGGAGTTTATTTGATATTTGCTGCTTGGTTGTGTAAGAAATCGAATTTAATTTACAAGTGGGTCTGTATTTTGTTGGCTATTGCTGGATTGGCTTATTGTGTGGATAATATTTTAAAGTTGAGTTATAGTAAGGAATATTATGTGGAACATTATCAATCTGTGACCCTGCCTCTTGTTGCTATTCCAGCAATATTTGGAGAAGTAGGATTGGCTATTTCACTACTCAGACAGTGAATTTGATATAAATAATTTCAATTATAATTGGAAAATAATTCACTCATTAATACTTATGGGATTGACAGAGATCGGAGAATGTTTTCTAAACCATTAGCAAGCTTTCTTATAATTGCAGAAAATAACCAAACCAAAAGAAATGTCAGAAGTCAGTCCCATTTATTGTTAAACTATTACCAATAATCACCACAGCTACATTTTCCATCTTTGATATGATGATACCTATTGGCATCTCTTACAATAATTTCCATGCCTACAAAGTGATTTCTCTTTTTCTTCCTCTGATGTCAGTTGGGTATGAGTTGTTTTATTCAGAAACTAATATTTCAAACAATTATTCCATATTTTTCATATTATAAATTGGAACATTAGCCACCAACTGAGTGGCAAATACCTTTGGATCTGTCTTGAATCTATTTCTCAGAATATCTTTCTTATCTTGCTCCAAATTACTGTAAACTCTCTCAACAATCATATCAATCACCTCACTGTACAATTGTAAATGATTGGCTGCGAATGTAATTAAATCCAAATCAATTAGTGAACCTCGATCTTGTTCCTCCCAACTGGTCATTCCAAGCATTGTATTAATGAGTGCACCTTTGGTTTCATACCAATCTCTGGCTTGTTGCTGTTCAGTTTGAGTCATTTTCGAATAGGATTCAAAGGCAGGTCCGAAGAATGATTCCAACATGTGTGGATCTTCGGCCAGGAAGGAGGGAAATCCCCAACTGTTTGGATGAGCAGTACCTTCCATTAGAGAGGCTGCAATACTTTGCACCAATATTTTATGTTTAAATTCATCCAAATGAGATGCTTGTTGATCTTGAGACATTTTTTTCACTTTATTGCACGATTTTAAAATTCAAACTCTAAATATACCATTCACCAAATCATTAAAAAGAAATATGTTTAAATTAAGAGGAATTTTTTACTAGAATACAATTTACTCAATGTTAGCAGAGATACTGAGATCAGCTTGAGTCAAACCCATGTTACCGTTACCAAACAAATTGTGTGGGTCAATCTTTTGCTTGAGACCCTTCAAGATGTCAACACCTTGATCTCTGACAACTTCATTCATCCATTCTCTTCTGAGCTTACCAATACCGTGGTGGTGAGACAAACTTCCTCCTTGGAGCAAGATTTCATCTCTGGCTTCAGATTCAATTTCAGAGAAGACCTTAATTGGATCACTCAATCCTCTAAAGATGAAACCATAATAGAAGTAGACACAAGCACCAGTTTCATAAGTTTGAGTAACACGAGCAGAAACCCAAGGAACTGATGGAACACCCTTCTTCTTGGCAGATTCCTTAACTCTTTCTTCAACCTTCTTAATCATTGGAACAATGTTAGACCATGGAACAGAGGTTTCAAAGCTTTCGGCCATAAAGTAATAATTGAAACCATAATCTCTCAAATAAGCAATAACATAGGTAAGCAAATATCCTCTAGAACCAGCTTCAGCACCAGCCTTAAGACCACCATACTTGGAAGTAATATCATAAATAATCTTTTGTTGTCTATCAACTTCTTCTTGAGTACCTTCAAAGAGCAATGTGACAACACACATCTTTTCTGGATCAAAACCACAGACC